AGGGAACAGCCGGTGACATCCTGGGAGAGAACAGTGCCTGACATACTCACTGGAAGGCCCCATGCTGAAGAGCAGAGGTGAAGGAGAAGCAGCCTGAGAGGTGGCGAGGGACAAAGAAGCTGTTAAAATATGTGCAGGGCTGCTTTTAGGGCAGTCGATTAAAGTTTTAAAAAGTGGAGGGAAAATCTGGGCTGAAACTCTTAACAGATTTACTACTTGGATTTTAAATAATCTCCTTTATCCAATGCCACCAGGATGTGGAGTCAAGACCATAAAATCCTATCCCTTCACAGCTACTAAAGGAATTCTCGAAAAGCTACAAGCCTCTCTGTCATGTTCAGCTCTTCCTAGAGTCCCAATAAGGCTGAAATGGCTAAGCCTCCACTACTCACCATCCACACGTTTGTGCCTCATGTTATTTCCTGGAGTGACACAGTCCGTGCCCCGGGTGATTATCTAGCATTATACTCTCATTAAATGCAACTGATGGAAACCCCAAAGCTTTCACTAATGGCTTATCAGTCCTTCAAGATGTATCAGTTATTTTATACATAAATCTTCTGACTTATGCTCCTGAAATGCAAGTACCTCCTTTATTTATGGTTTCTTCCTTACTGTGCTTTTGGAAAACAAGACCAAAGCATGTAAGACTCTGGTGCCAATATCTAGAAGGTCTATACAGTGCAATGGCTGCCCTGTTGAGCTAAAAGTTTTCATTGTCGGTGAAGACAAAATCCTCCAACAAATTTAGCTACCTGAGCAGGACTCCGGCCAACATGAGGCGGACCAGCCAAAATGAGCAACACCCATGCTGGGCTGCACCCATTTCCAACCACTGGACAGAGTCCTTCTGAGCAAGCTTAGTGAGCCCACATGAATCCCTCGCGTCAGTTTCCCTTCCTCCAGTCTTTGGGACACTGTTCCAAAGGTAGTAGATGATGTACTCTGGGCACGGCCACTCACATGCAATGCAACGAACACCAAAGGGACGTTCCCTTTCTTTCTTAGGATTTAACATGGTCAAAGAAGCCCTCTATGCAAACCCTGCAAAATGCCTTTCCTTGGGGCAAGACTTAGCACAAATTGCTATTTAATTATTTAATTTACTAACTACACTTATCAAATACTGCACTTTCTAATACAGAAATGAATGGTTCTTATAGCCTTCACAAAAATGCAAACTTCTTTACAACACTTTTGTTTGAAGAAGCCCTCGTTACTTGATGTTTTTAACTTTTTCTTTCTTTCAAACCTACTAGGTGGCAAGCACAACTAATCCTTGATGTATGTTGTTTAATTCTAGCCCTTATTTTAACTGGAACCCTTGTGCATTGCTGCCGGGAACATGAAATGGAACAGCCAGGTGGAAAACACTTTCTAACCCTCAAAGTAAGTAAGTTTCATTATTACCCATGTCTTTTTTTCTTTTAAAGATTTTTTTATTGGGGGACTGGGGGATGGGAACAGCACTGGGGAATTGGGGGAAGGGGAACAGACAAGTTGCTGTCATTTTGTTCTTCAGTATAGTTATGGAGGACGTTGCTTCACTGGCCCAAGTTGGCACCATCATTGCACTCTTCCCGGGCGCAGCAGATCAGTTGCCGGCTTCTGGATGGCCGCTCACTGCGGCTGCTGGCCACTCACGCTGGCTGCTGGCTATACACGGTAGCCCATGGCAACCCACTGCAGCAGGGGCGGCAGCCTATGCTGTCACAGGCGACTCATGGCAGCCCAGCTCCAGGTTGAGCTATTGTTCAGCATCTTAGCTGTGGAGGGCAGTATCACTGGCCCTCATATGTGGGATCCGAACCGGGGCCCTCTGGCATCCCAAGCCAGCTCTTAACCAACGTGCCACTCGGCCGTTCCTTGCCCATGTCTTAAGGCTGAGTTATAACTAAGGCTCAAAGAAACGGAAGAAACTAGCCCAAGGCCACTCAGCCTAGATTTGTTAACCAACCGACTGATTTTGACTCCAAAGCCCATACTTCGCACTGTCCCATACCTCCACCCTTCACCCTAACTCTTAAAAAATCGGTTAGCCCATCAAATGCGATGACAGGAACAGGGGCTGAAGGCAAGCATTCTGAAAAGCAAGAAACACCAATATTTTATTCAAACTACAACTTTTTAACTGCCAGCCTCTTTGGGAAAAGCACTGCAAGATTATACAGAAATGCACATAATAAAACACTGGGAAACATTTAAACACCATCCTTCAGAGGGCACATCTGTGTGGTGATACTCAGTCTCTGACGTTTATGCTGTTCCTTTTGAGTGCTTCAGAGAACACTGTGGGAGAGGGCAGTGCTGCTGTGCATTCTGTCCACTGCCTCCCAAGTGCTAACTTCTCCCCCTTTGTTCTCCCAGACCTAACAGAACTTTCCTAAGAAATATTCCCACGGGCTGGAGACGGTATCCAAGTGAACACAGTGTAACTACTTCCTCCCTTCCAGGGCAGCAAAATCACTTCTGTCAGGGGGGCTTTGGGGGCACCGTGCAACGCTGTAATCAACACTGTAATCAATCACACCACCTTCCCACTGAAGGAAAAAGCGGCTGCCTCCCACTACTGCCCCTAAGCTCAGGACTTCCTCCTCCAGACAGGTCCCAGGGGGTGGGTGGTCACTGAAGGCACCTGAGAAGTTGGTGCCATGATCCTTCCCCCTCAAAGGAAAAGCTACAGAAAAAGACAGGCGATGGAGGAGGTCTGTTTCCCACCCACTCCCTCCAGTCTTCCACAGCAGTCAGGCTGCCAGGTAAACAGGAAGCCGGGAAGGGAGAGGGGATGCTCCCATTCCATGTAATAAGCTCAGCCTCCGTCAGAAAAGCTGGGCCGCCAATCCCACACAGCTTTTAAGAAAAAAGTGGAATCCATCATTCATGCGCTTATGCATCAATCTGTTCACCCTACAAATGTTTGCTGAGTATCTACTATAGGGGAGGAACCATCCTAGGTAAAATATCTGCCCTTATAGAACAGACAATTTAGTAGGGAGAAACAATAAACAAAATAAAGAAGTGTACTGTATATTAAAAAGTGAGAAAGAGTTATGGAGAAAAATACACTGGAGATGTGTACAGGGACTCTCTGTGTGTGTGTGTGTGTGTGTGTGTGTGTGTGTGTGTGTGTGTGTGAAAAAGCAGGAGGATAAATTATAATCCTCCATGAAAGAAAACCTTCTATTTCTGAGGGTGGGCAATTTTTAAACATTTCAGAGTACTTTAACTGCCAATGGAGACCGCCTATGTTTAAGTTCCTACTACCTAATTACAGATTCAGTATGGCAATAAAAGGAAGGAGGTACTTTTTCATAACTGCTCCCTTACATTGTATTTCCTACCCTTCTTAACCATCTCGCCTCACTTCTCTCCAAAGAAAAGCCTAAAACTGGTGAGAATGCACATCAGGTTAGTGTCCATTATTTTCATAGATAAAAGTCAGTCTAAGTTTTACACTTTTCAAATAAATGGCTAAAGACCTGCCAAATTCGAATTCCACATTTTCACAGAACAGCCACCCACATGGAGCTGCCCTGTGTCACATCGGTTTTGATTATACAACATTCGAAAGTGGCCCCGTTACGAGCAGCCCATCGGTGGATGTGGTAACTCAGGGTTGCTTCACCGGCACAGCCATGTTATTTGCTCACGAGCTAAATGCCCAAAGGTAAAATGTCCAGCTGCCTAGGAGATGTCATTCTTTCACAGTCAACAGAGGGCTCTAAGAAAGCAAACTGTCACCAAGTAAGGCCAAAGCCACAGGTACAATGACAACATGAGACCTGCTTGATTTTGGAACGCAACGGGACAGTCACAGAGAGACTCTGGACAATGGAGCCAGGCTCTTGGGAGGGAAGCTGGCCTGAATCTCCACCAGCCACAAGGGCGTCCCACACAGTCAGTGTGGGACTGAAAGTACTTGCTGGACAAATGTTCCTTCTGTTTCCCCATGTACAAATCTTCAAGCCCTGTCCACACCCTCTCCGAAAGGACACCATTTATAGGCCAGGTACTGAGCTAACTGCACGAAAAATTATGATCCACTGTCCTCAAAAGAGGGGGATAGGACAGCAATGAGCCCAGGGACCCGCGCGAGGTTCCTTGACCTCTTTCCCTGGCCTTGGTCTCCTCCTCGGTATAAGGAGGGATGGGATGGGAGGAAGATCTAAGATTCAGGCTCCAAAATTTGAAAATTCCAGAAGTGCCCTAGAATCAATTGTTCCTCTATTGGCCCCTTTAAAGAGGTGTTCCAGCTAATGCAAGCTGGCCTCAATTTTTCCAAATGCTTGATTTTCAATGAGGTTTGGATAACTTTTAGAAAAAATACTTTGTTTTTCACAAATTCTACAAGCCTGAGGTTTTCCTCCTATCATTCCTTGGAACAAACTGAACGGGAGTAGGGAACTGACCTGTTCAATCTTGCTACTAAAATCATGAGCTTGGGATTCGCACTGCCTCGGCTTCTCCTCCCGGCGTGGAGACCGTCCCTGGCCCTCCCTGCCCCGTTCCCGGAATGCCAGGGCCTCCCGAGCTGCTCCCCGCCACGGCTGGCCATGTGTTCCCCGCCGCGACACCACCTGGAGCCTCCAGAACGTCCAGGTGGCCAAGTCAGGGAGGGCCGGGGCGCACCCCGCTGCCACCTGGCCCCGCACCGCGGCCCGCGCTCCTCCAGGGGCGACCCTCGCTCCCTTGGGTCACGCTCCAAACCGCGTTTCTCCTTCGATTCGGAGCCAAATCTGGCCTCCAGGCGGTCACTGGGCCAGACAGCGAAGGCACCTGCCTGGCCCGGAAAAATGCACGATCCCGCAAGTCCCTTTGCCACAACCTCGACGGGGGCTTGCGAGAGCAATGCAGAAGAAAGGAAAGCAAGCCCGAGGCAGGGCCGTCCCGGCCCGGCGTCTCCCGAGAAATCGCCACCTGCGATGCGGCCCCACGGGCCGGGCGGGGAGCGAGGTCCGGGGCCCCACCGCTGCGCCCGCCCGCCCAGGCGCGCCCCTTACCCGTGAGGCGGCCACCCCCCTCGCCGTGCCCGCGGCGCCGCTGCAGGATGAAGTAGCAGCTGCTCTTCTGAGTCACCCACAGCTTCAGGGCGTTCTTCAGCAGCACCTCCTCGGGCTTGAGCCACATCGCAGCGGTCCGGCCGCGCCCGCGGGCCCCGGCTTACATCGCCCCGGCCGCTGGCCGCTCCGGGCCGAGCCCGCTCGGAAGGAGGCGGCGGCGAGGACAGCAGCTAGCCGGTGCCGGCGCTCAGAGCGTCCCGGGAGCGCGGCGGGCGCAGCTCGGCCCGCGCAGTCTGCGCGCCGGCCCCGCCCACAGACCCGCCCAAGTCCCGCCCACGGACGCCCCGGTGCCGCCCACAGCCATCCCCACCCCACGCGCCTGCTCCCCGGGCGCCTCCTGGGTTTCCGAGTCCGGGCCGCTCCAGCGCACAGTTCCGGAGTGGGGAGAGGAAGTCCAATCCCTGCTGCCAGGTACCCCCTGCTCCCCGCCGCGCTCGCGGGGGGCGCCGCGACCCTTATTCCTTTCCCGCGCCTCTTGGGAGGCAGCTCGGGATGGCACCTCATCCTGAACCGAAGCGGAGTGAGGGAAAAATACCTCTCTTGTTCTCACAGCTGCAGGTTGCCCGACCTGGGGCATTTATCTTTGGGGAGACTGAACGCACGCCAGAAAACCCAGATGTGTGTGGAATAACACAGCACTTAAAGTAACAAGAAACATTTTTACAAATAACCCAAAAATATCATTAAAAATTAAAAACAATTATTTTCCGATTTTTTAAATGCTTAGCACACGTTTTTGACACTTTGGCAAGGGATCCTACGGAGCTGCTGAAGAGGCAGTGACGTTATAGGACCCTGAGGCAGGTATCAGACCAAACTCAACCCTGGACACCCCTCGTGGGTACAGAAGATACTGATATTAGGGCCCTCCCGTGGGTCTCCTACGCAGGAATGACACCAGTCACGTTTGTTCTGAGAGAAATGAAAACCTGGGAAATATGGAGTAGATGATAGTGAGGAAACACTACAGGGAATGTGGAGGTAGGGTTTTTAAAATTAGTATTTCCTCAAAGCTGAGGTAGAAATAGACACAGGGTAGCTGGCCTGGAACTGGCTGGGAAGCCCAGAAGCCATCTCTGCAGGGAGGCAGTTCAATCCAACATCTTAGCAAAAGAGAGGACAATAAAAACTCCACTAAAATGTCCCTCGGGTTTTGACAAAGGGATCCCTGATAAAATGTGACGGCTAATTTAAGGACAGAACTGAAAAGTAGAAGTAAAGTAAATCCCCCACTGGGTGCCTGGGAACTGAGTGAAACCTCTTTGCCGGAAGCCAAGGAGGATCAGAAGGGATCAGCTCAGAACCCCAGACCTGACCTGGCAGGTATGAAGCCACACAAAGGGCCCTGTGCTAGGACAAACAGGACCGCCCACCTCGGAGGCAGGGGCAGCTGTAGTCCAGAACTGGCAGGCCACCGACAGATCTCCTCTGAGTAGAGCTGAGGAAGGAAGTCAGCTATAATAACCAGGAGGATTTTGGTGCACCAAGCAGACAGAACCATCAGAGATGGTCATATTCCTTCCAGAAACATTAGGTGGCACCTCCCCCCTCTCAGACTGGCTGCCCTGAAGGAAAATAGGCACAAAGTGTAGTGGGAGTTATGGTGAGGACAGCTGGGGATGCACAGAATAAAGGGTCAATTCCTCAGGAAAGGGAATTGACAAAGGCCCACAGAACAGCTATTGCTTAGAAAATGAGTGTTTGCCACAAAGTATGAGCATGGATGACATTGTGGTTTAGGGCACACCTCTGGAGACAGTCTGCCCTACATCAAATCCCATTCCTGCTACTAGTTAGCTGGGCAACCTTGACCTTGGACACGATAGGAATCTCAGTGATTCTCGGTCTATTCAACTATAAAGTTGGGATAATCATAGTACTTTTTTAATAGGTGCTATCTAGTGTTTAATATATTTAAGTATGGTACTTGGAACACACATAAGCACTCAATAAATGTCAGCTATTATTACTAAATGTACAAAAGTTCCTGGAAGTGAAACAATCCACATACACACTCACCCATATTTTAAACATTATTAAGCTTTTATTATCTGCCAAATGTTAAATATGAAATATGTAATATTAAAGCACAGGAAGGGGTATATGAAAGCAGTTGGAAAGGGTACTATGGGGTCCTATGCCCTGACCTCTCTTCTCACCCCGAGGCTCCTGCCTGTACCTCCCAATAGCCAGATTGACTAGAAGCCAAAAGATAAGTGAGGCCAAGGGATGCAGTCTGCAGAGGTCAGCCACCTGGGCACAGAGCAAGGCAGGAGGTTGGAAAAGGGACCTGGAGGGGCCAATGGAAAATATCTAGCGCAGGTAGTAGCAACTTCCTATTGTCCCTCATCTCTAGGTGCTCATCACCTCTTTTTGGTGTTTTGGGTTAAATTGTGTCCCCCAAAATTCATACGTTGAAACCCTAATCCCCATTACCTCAGAATATGACCTTATTTGGAAACAGGGTCATTGCAGATGCAATTAGTTAAGTTACAATGAGGTCATTATGGTGGGCCCTCATCCAACATGACTGGCGTCCTTATAAAAAGGGGAAATTTGGACACAGACATGCTCACAGGGAGCACACACCATGTGAGGATTGGAGTTCTGCTGCTGCAGTCCAATGAACTACCAGAAGCCAGGAGAGGGGGCTGGAGCAGATTCTTCCCTACCACCCTCAGAAGGAACAACCCCACTACCACCTTGATTTTGGACTTGTAGCCTCCAAAACTGTGAGACAGTGTCTGCTGTTTAAGCCACTCATTTGTGGCACTTTGTTACGGCAGTCCTAGAAAACTAATATAGTTGGCTGCCTAATGCAGCCCACACCTGTTTCGTAGCAAGTGTCTTGAATCATTCTGAGTTGAATTCTGTTTCTTGCCAGGACCGTGGCTGGTGCCAGGAGTGGCCCCAGGAAACACAGTTCCTCAGTATGGAATTCTGGCTGGGCTACTCACAGATCTGTGTGTGCATAGGGAGCAAGAGGGATGTGATAATCGTTGGCAGCAGGATTGCTCAACCTAGCACTGGTGGTGGTGGTGTGAGGGGCAGGACAGGGCTTTGGGGGGCTCTTGCTGCTGTTGCACTTCATCGCTATAGCAACAGTGACAATTACAAAGATTGTAGAGTGGGTGGCTGTTTCTGACTGTCCCAGAAAGTTAAAAAAAAAAAAAGAAAGAGATAAGTATGAAGTATTAAATTCCCATCTCAAGATACAGATATGGTGAAATTCAATGATTCCTTTTGCTGGTGTAACCACAGGACAGACAATGATCATCTTCAGATCCTAATATAGTTGTTTGGGTGACAGAATTTTTGCAAAGGTTAAGTGCTGCTCAGCCTCAGCCAGTTCTGTTGCTAGCATTAGACATTGATTAAGAAGGAGTGGGACCATACACTTGCAATGACAGAGAATATTTGGGAGGACATAAAGTGATAATCACGTGATGCAATAAAAGTGCCACAATGTCAATCATATTGCAATATAAATATATCAAATCAACATGTTGTACACCTTAAACTTACACAATTTCATATGTCAATTATATCACAATTTTTTTAAAAAGATTAGCTATGGAAGGCAGTGTGGAGATTTTCCAAAAAGTTAAAAATAGAATTACCATATGACCCAGCAATCCCTCTCTTGGGTATCTACCCAAAAAATCTGAAAACATTTATCCGAAAAGATATATGTACTCCGATGTTCACTGCAGCTTTATTTACAGTGACCAAGACATGGAAACAACCAAAGTGTCCTTCAATAGATGATTGGATAAAGAACTTGTGGTATATATACACAATGGAATACTATTCTGCCACAAGAGAAGATGAAATAGTGCCATTTGTGACAACATGGATAAATCTTGGGATGGGTCTAAGCAAAATAAGTCAGACAGAAAAAATAGAGAATCACACGATTTCACTGATATGTGATATATAAAACTGAAAACAAAGAAAGAACAAGAAAAACAAATGAAGAAACAAAACTCATAGACACAGACAATAGTTCAGTGGTTACCAGAGGGTAAGCGGGGAGAGGGTGGTAGATAAGGGTAAAGGGGATCAAATATATGGTGATGGAAAGAGAACAGACTCTGGGTGGTGAGCACACAATGTGATATATAGATGATGTATTACAGAATTGTACACCTGAAACCTATGTAACTTTACTAACAGTTGTCACCCCAATAAACTTTAAAAAAAGAAGAATACCAGATGTAGAGACTTAAATAGGAGAACAAATAGCAGAATTAGAAAGAGATTGATAAAATTATCTTTAAAATTATCAAAAAAGCTATTAGAACAAATGTGTAATAGAGAAAACAGATAAACTCAAAAGTTGCATATTGAAAAATTAATACAGTCTCTAGGAAAACTGATCATCAACAGGAAGATAAAGAGGGACGAAAAAGGAAGATTCAAAATAGAGCTTCATAAATGCAAAAAAATAAACATCATTGCAGATTCTAGAGACACCAAACAAATAATACTAATACAGTTGACCGTTGAACAACGAATGTGGCGGTTGGGGCACTGACCTCTGCACCATTGAAAATGAACATATAACTTTTCACTCACCAAAACTTAGGTTGTTCCTCGGTACCCATGAGGACTGATTCCAGGACACGCCACACACACACCCGCAGAAACAAAAATCCATGATGATCAAGTTCCCTATATAAAATGGCATAGATCGATGCATGCAGTTGGCCCTCCGCATCCACGGACTCTGAACCGAGGATCAAAAACAGTATAGGTATTTATTGAAAAAAGTCCACGTATAAGTTGACCCATGCAGTTTAAACCTGTGTTCTTCAAGGGTCAACTGTATAATAATAATAATAATAATAATAATAATAACAATAATACTAGAAAGCTGAGCTCCCAAATCCCAGTGTCCCTTTCCTACAGAAGCAGCCCCCCACTCCCCTGTATGTATGAGGAAATTAGCATTCACTCACATGAAGACTTTTCAAGATTTCACCTGGGGCCTTTGCCTCACACATTGATGCCTGTCCTCAAAACCGTCCCACAATGCACCTCACTGACTCCAGGCCCAGAAAGAGAATTGCAAGGTCTGCTGGGGACAGGGTAGAGATCGATTATAGACAAGAGGGTTGGAATCTTGCCAATATGAATTGAGATGAAGCTGAGGGTCACGTATGGGAATGGAATCTAGAGTGTTAAACCAAGGAGGATGAAAGATAACGTTGGATTCAGCAAAAGTTATGAATAT